AAAAAATGCAGACTGTCGTTACCTGTATGAATTTGAATATAGCAAAGGCTGGTGCACTCTGCTCAGCAAACGCCCGGCCCAGAATGCTGTAGAGTTGAGTATTGAAACAGCTGTCCCCAAGACCCAGCAGAAAGCTGCACAGCAGGGCGATGGACACGCTACAAGTGTGAATAAATGAACACAGCGCCATCAACAATGCAACACTGCACTCTTTAGGAAACAAAATGTAGCTCAGCAGATGATCCAAACAGCTTATATTGCATTCAGTGTATCTTTTTTTATCAATTAATGCATTCCCTGCCAGTTTTTGGTTTTGTTTCAAATTATTTTGCAGATCTCTCTTAAATGATTATTGTACCTTGGTACCAGATATGGCTTATGTTGTGAGCTTGTTTGGAAAACCACAGGTGCGTCATCTGGTATGTTGAGGAATATCAAGTAGAAGGCCACAAAGTGCACAACCATCCCTAAGAAGACAACTGAAGTGCGCCTGAAACGGTTATTCTTCAATACAAGGCCAAACAATCCTCCCCCTGCAAACAAGAAACAACATCTAATCAAGCTCCAATCCTATTAAAGTACCTGCCCAGCTTGTCTTTAGATGTCCATACTACTAAAATTGACCACACTTCATACTTCTGCAAACTGAAAGTGCACTGACCAACTATTTCTCCGATTCCCACCATAATGCCTGAAATGCCAATTAAGCCTTTTGCTACATCGCCAAAGTGTGTCGTAGCTCCAATGCAGGTTCCATAAACGCCACTGTAAAATGACAGCTCCAAACCTTCAATGAAACAGCAGCAATCAAAACACATTCATCATGCTCAAATGCTCATGGAATTAATGGCTGTTTCCTTTAGTGATGTCCTTACCACTGTATGCCATGCAGAAACTTAATAGCAATATGGTTTTTGTTTTGAAGATTTCCCAAATTGTCTCTAAAGGAAAAAAGACAAAAGCAATAATTCAATAAATCGATCAATCAATAAAGAACATGGGTTTGAATAAAACAACAATTAACTGATGAACCACTACAATGGATGACCAATTTGTATAATTACTCCTTGAATAATTCTTTAATAATTTTTTTTTATAAAAAATAGCACATCATGTTACAAATGTGAAAATTAAGCCATATGAACTTACTAAACTGTGTTTTCGCTTCCGTCACAGCAGATGTTGCTCTTTGTTTATATCTAAAATTACACAACAAATTATATCAGCGACCAATGACAATTCAAACAATAAGTATCTGTAAGTAGCAATCACCATCGTTTTCCAACAAAAGTTTATGAATTCATTTATAGCTGGGGTTATCATGGAGTCACATCA